GATAAGGAAGTATTCGCAGGCCCGTCGCTCGGTTACATCCCGACCGTAGAGGCTTGCTTTCAAAAATTTCTTTTTCGACAAAGGCCCGGGGATCGGGTACACCCGATCGGTTGGCCAGATTTGACGTCGAAATATCAAACGCACGACCAGGCCATAAGGTCGTAAGGTCGGGCGTCGAGTGGGTCGAACCAGTGCAAGATCGGGCCACAAGGCCGCGAGGTCGAGCATTAAGGATCAGCACTTATGCGAGTAAAGATAGAAGTGCGAAAAGAAAGAACGAATAACACGAGTTAGAGAAAAAATAAATTTTATTAATTGACAAAAGGTGCCCGGTACAATTCGGGACCGGGCTCCCGATCGGTGTTTCTTACAAAAAAGAGGAGACAGCCTAGCCTATTTCTTTGCCTCCCGGGCTCCAGCAGCCGCTTCCTTCCCGCTTGAAGGGGCCGCCGACGACGCTCCAGGCTCGGCCGCCTTGGCTTTTGGGGCGAACGGAGAAGGACCGGGATCGGCTAGGTCTGGGGGTAAGGCCGAGAGGACCAGCTGAAGGTCTTCCCCGTCCAGGGCCTGTTCCAACCGAGAACGGACTCGTTCAAGCATCTTCCGCTTCCCGGCCGTAAAGCCCCAGCGACCGAACGAGACGATCAGCTCTTCCCCGATCTCTGTTCCCCGGGCTGCTGTGAGGAAGGCCGAGCCCAAGTCCTTGTCTTTGAAGGCTGCCCGCGCCAGCTCGCTCGGATTCTCGAGCTGAGCCTTCAGCTCCTTGGCCTCTCCGATCGCCCGGCTGGCGACCTTCTCGGCAAGAACCCGCTCCTCGTCGCCCTTCTTCAGGGCCTTCTGGGTCTTCTCCAGCTCGGCTTGGAGGTCCTTGATCTCCTTCAAGCGACGGGCGGCCGTCTTCTTGTGGTGATCAGCTTCCTCGGCCAGCATGGCTCGACCTTGTAGGAGTTGGGCGGCCCGGGAAATCTGCAAAACAAGAGACGTTCGGTTAGCCCGATCGAAAACACTTGGGCAAAGAAAGATTATAAGTTGGGAAACTCACCTCAGCCAGGTCGTGGCCGATCTGTTCAGCCACCTGGGTCGGGGTCATCTTCCCCAGATCCACTCGGGCTGGCGCGGCGTTGCCGATCCGTGCCAGCACGGACGTAGAATCCCTTTCTCGCCCGACAGAAGGGCTCGGGCTGTGTTGGTCACGGCGGCGCTTCAGGCTGCCCACCTCGGTCGCGCCCTGGTCGGCGACCTTCTCCTTGCCCCGGGCGACCTCCACCCGGGTGACCAAGACGTCAGGCTGCTCGACGATGAAGCCCTCGCCCGTCGACACGGTCGAGGCACTCAGGGGTCGGGCAGTGGGAATCTCCTTTTCCCCGGCTGCTTTGGTCTTGGCCTTCTTCTTCCCGCCGAGGGAGATCTTCGTGGGCGGAGGAAGGGCGGTGTCTTCATCGCCGAATTCTGCCATGGCTGCAATAAAAGAGCAAAGTTAGTTTGATCAAGAAATGAAGCTAGGTCGGGAGGAACGGCTCGAGCTGAACCTTTCTTCTTTCGTTTCGGCGGCTTGGCGACCGTCACGCCCATCGGTACGGGAAGGTACTTCTCCTTTAGCTCGTACGTGGGGGGCGGGAGCTTGGCGGCTGCGAGACTCTCGGCTGTCCGGAAGATGGAGTACTCGTGTATTTCACTCGAGATCCGAGTGACCGTCTCCTTGAGCGCCTGAGTCGCGGCCGGCACCACTTGCTTTCTGAAGTGGCTGCTCCAAATGCGATCAACCGGGAGGATCCAGGGGTCGTATTTGATGGAGAAAATTCTGTTCTTCCACCCCTTGTTGTTCCCGGGCAGGCCTTTGATGGAGCACATATCTGCTCGGGATTGCAGCATCAGGAACCCACCCCCGTAGCGGCCCGGGAGAACCTTGATCTGGTAGATGAAGTTGAACAACTCCATCGTGCACTCGGCTTCGTGCCGAGTGCATATCTGCGGGAAGCAGGCGAGGATCCGATGTGCGTTCGGGCAGATTTGAGCCGGAACGACCCGGTAGTACGCTAGAAAGGCCGTCAAGAGGGCCGGGAAGGGAATGGCGATCGGGGCCATTAGGGAGTCGTAATGCATCCCGATCCACTTGCCCCGATGCCTGTCAATCACGTTCCCCAGCTGCCGGCTCGTGTCGAATTCTACCCGACCCCGGAGTATTTCAGCAATCCGAGCCGCCTCGCCTTTGGTCAGCAGGCTCATTTCTTGCTCGACACTCTCGCTGTTCAAGAATTCGAGCTCGACGGCTGGCGTGGCCGGCCCGGCCGGGTCTTCTTCGGTCTGCTCGGGGGTATTTTCTCGATCACCCCCTCGAGGAGCAGCTTCCGGGTGGTCCCCAACCACCCGGGTAGGCGTTTCCCTAACGCCCTCGGTCGGAGAACCCCGCCCGCTTGACGTGGTCCTCTCTTCCTCTTCTTCGCTGGAGCTCCCCGACCCGCTGGAGCTAGAGCTCGACGTCCCAGAGGAGCTTGATGCGCTGTTATGCTCAACAGCTCGATCGGGGGCTGGCGTTGCTTGGGGGCTGGCTTCGGGAGTGTAGGACATAATGTCCACTTCCTCGTCGCTGATACGCTCGGCCTCCTCATCGTAGTCCGCGATCGAGGCGTTTTGACTGTCCGAGTCCGTCATTTCGATCTACCTAACGGTCGGTCGGGGTTAGTAAAGGACTTGAGTCGTCCGGGACAGTTAGTTGACCTAGTAGTTCTACCTATAGTTGAAAGCGTGAAATAAAGAGAAGGAGGGAGAGCTTACCGGATGAAGGAACTTTGCGAGAGAAAGCTTGAAGTTTGTTGCTCGATTGCCTTGCTGAGATGCTCTGCTCGGGATTCTTAAAGGATACCGACTGAAGCAAAAGAGTGAGGAAAGTTCAAATGAGGGCCTCAAGGGCCTATTTATAGGAGGGCATTTAGGCGGGAAATGGGCCAACTTGCCTGATACGACCTGCGCTGAATCCGAGGCGACGGATGGGATCGCCGAGGCCGGCAGAGGCCGACACGTGGCGTAGGAGGGAATGACAGCTGGCCGGTCGGTCTAATGCCTGACGGTTGGGCTTCTTCATCCCGTCCCGTTTTTTCCCGACTGATCAAAAAGGCCCGGGCTGGGGGGCTTTTGGTAGGGAATATCCCGACCGACATAAGCTCCACCACGATCGACTTGCCTTTGTCTTTCTCTTATGATCTTTTCAGGTGGCAGGTCGGGCTTTTTCCATGAAGACCCCGGTCGGGAATGGCCGGGAGTTGCCCGAGCACTGATGTCAACCACCGAGCGGTAGCCCTTCGACGAAAGAGCTGGCACAAGGACGCGAGAGGACGCGTGGCGGCTCTTCATGGCGACAGACAGGGCACCCGGGAAGATGACACGTGGTGGCTACGTGGAAGACATGCCGAGCGGCTGGAATCTTGTCCCCGGCATCGCGGCTATAAATGCCCACAGTAGCTACAGTGTAGAGGACTTTTGGACGATCGATAGGTTGTTGTTAGAGAACCCCGACCGCAGTCAGTCGGTACTCAGAACAACCAAGTAGATTGTACTTAGGGCCTTTACCGGGATCAATAAAGATTTTACTTGCTTTAATTGGTCTCGTGATATTTTATATTGCTTACGTAGAATTAGCAGTATCACCAGCATTATTCGCTGACCGGGCGTCGTCCCATGTTTTATATGCTTCTTTCATGTGATGCTTAGACGAGTGCGCGGTCTAGTGCCTGCTAGCATAGTTTCCCCTTTGTGTTTTGTGGCCTGTGAGCTAGTATAGACATAGAACTCTGTTGGATGGATGTAGATTTAAACAATGCAGATTTAGCCTGTGCGTTCACCCTTGGGCGAGCGTGGCATAGCACCCCGTTCCCTCGTTTTATATATATCTTATCTTTCAGTCTTCCGCTGTGTTTGGTGTTTTGGTTTAAGTTATCTGCATGTTTTAAGGCTTTAAATATCTTGGTTTTTAGGGGGTGTTACATACATATTTTTTTTGTGTCAACCACACATTGTGCAATCATTATTGTGTGGATCATATTTTGTCTACTGTAAAATAATGTATATTCAGTACAAAAATAATGTACATTCAGTACAAAAATAATATACATTGTATTTAGGTGATATACATTATTTTTGTTCTGAGTGTACATTATATTATATAATGTACATTTAGTACAAAAATAATGTACATTTAGTATATTAAAAATGTACTTTTTGTTATGGTCCACATAATAATTTGCCCACATTGTGGTCCGAGTCTTTCTCTCCGTTTAACGGCCCAAGTCCACCCAATTCACTCCGAGAGGCACAGAAATTGGCCCAAAGGGGATCGTCACTTGTGGGAATTAAACCCAGATTATCTTAAAATTCTTCCCCACAAAGAAAGCTCATTTGCCACTTGAGCTACCCTGTTGAGTTACTAAAGATGCATACTATATTGATAGTAGACACATAATATTATGTATCTACAATCAATATATTATGTGTCAGTAATTACTATGTTATGTATTTGTAGTTAATATGTTATGTACCTCCAATTTATTTACAAATACTGTCATTAGCTGCACGTATAAAATATATGGGATACATGATCAAAGGAAAGAAAAACAATGATGTAGATCAAAGGGTTCTTTTATTGATTCATGTGTTTTCTTGGGTGTTTGTTTGTAGAGAGAAGGGAGAGCCTTCTTGGTAGAGAGAGAAAGTGGTCAATCAAACGAACCAAAAGCCCCTAACTTAGAGGGCCAAGAGCCCTTTTATAGGCAACGAGGTGACGGGTTTGACCCGTCATCTTTGACCTCGACTCGCAGACCGAGATCGAACAGTTTCGTCCCGACCCAACTATTAGCAAAAACACAGACCCAGGGTATATATATATATATATATATATATATATATATATATATATATACCCCACCTATCCCTCCTTTAGACTTCTCATGAGGACTGGGATATATATATATATATATATATATATATATAGTTTTTACTTCTTTCAATGGAACAACAGAATTCTGTATTACCATAATATAAGTTGCAGGAAAGAAGAAACATATTATCTACAGCCATAACCCAACACTAAAACATTTTAATAGCTAAAACAAACAACAAAACATGAACCTATGCGGTCTGTTATAAAAAGATTAAAAACTATTATCTGCATCCTTGGTTTCTGCTACCTATGCAGTTTGTCATCGACCCAGAAAAGTCTGGTAACAGCCAGCTTCAGCCACCCTTCTGAGACCTCCAATCTCCCATTACCACACGTTTGAGTTAAGAAAAGACTGCATGCAAGTATGGTTCAATCAGAGGTTCAAAGAAAGAACACAATAGTATTCATTTTTATAGTAATCACAATGCAATGGAAGTAAACCCCCATTTTGAAAGATGTTCAACCTGCCCTTCAGAGGACAATCACCATAGGAGAACGAGAGAGTGTGTGTATAGTGTTGATTACAGTTTAACACATTGCAACAGTTCGATTTAACTCTGGTTGGATTTCATTATGTTAGGATTAAGAGTTTACCACTACGCCAAAAGCTATACCTCGTAACGAAGGCACAACTTTATTTCCTTATATACCGCCCATTTTCGAGAGGCAGGGTGTTAGACTTGGCCCTTTACTGGCCTCCGCCCAACAATACCCTAGCCACAAATTGCTGGACTTGGCCCTTCACCGGCCTCCGCCCAACACATTCAAGATTCATTAATCCACAAAGGAACAACCTAAGATTGATCGTAAAGGAATAGGCAACAAAGAAGAAGATATTGCTTGGTAGCATACAAATGTGTTACTCTAGCTACACGATGGCGAAGTTAAAAGTACCTTCATTCCGGTGGGAGGTCCAGATTTAGCCATCATGGAGCTAAAAACGCCTCTAGGTTTATCCGAAGCAGTAGCCCCAATGTTAACCTTTGACTTTTCTGTAGGCTTTAGTATTTGAAACGAGCAAAGCAAAGTTGCATCAACACTCATCATTGCACCAGCGTTATCAAACTCTCCACAGTAGTTAGGTGCTGAAAATATAGTCACCAGCTGCCGCTTAGCGAAGAACTCATAGCCATCCTCGACCACCTGCACGAATCAGAAACCGTATCAAGGACAAAACCCGAACTTCAATCGAGTGGATGCTAGAAAGTAGAAAACCAGGGGACAAAGTTGGGCATAGTCCACTAGCTAGCACACATTTTCCCATTTATAAAAGAAAGTGTTTAATGGTTATTATGTGAGCCAAGTATTGTGACAAAACGAATTGAAGAGACTTGTGTTAGTGTTGCTCGTTAAACCTGATGGGCACGGCAAATAAGATCCATATCGTGCTTCTCGAGGAACTCAGTCACCTTGTCTGCACCAAAAGTGTACGAGACTCCTCGATCATTCATTGCCCACCCCTGAACCTCCCGACTAGGATCTGACCAAAGAAGATCACAGAGTAAGCCCGTATCGGGCACATCCATTGGTCGCTCGAGGTTCCTAATTTGGTCGAGGCTCTGAAGATCAGGAGACAGGCCTCCGTGCATGCAGAGAATCTTCCCATCAACCAGCGCTGCAACTGGCAAACAATTAAAGCATTCCGTGAAGGTCTTCCACAGTTTGACGCTAAACCTTTTCTTACATTCATCATAGAACCCATATATACGGTTAATGGAAGCACACTCATGGTTTCCCCTCAACAGGAAAACGTTGTCTGGGTATTTAATTTTGTATGCCAGCAGAAGGCATATCGTCTCCAGGCTTTGCTTGCCGCGATCAACATAATCGCCCAAAAACAAGTAATTTGCCTCGGGAGGAAATCCACCATATTCAAAAAGCCTCAGAAGATCAGAATATTGACCATGAATATCACCTGAGGTAAATAATACAGTACAAAACAACGTCAAAAGATGCAAAGAATCTTTAATGTATTATTAAGACGGATGCCTAAAGCATATGAAACGACAGAAACTACAACTTGCCACCAAAGTATAAAACAGTCATTACCCAACTCGTGTCTACAACCATTCTTTTTTTGCATTCTCAGAATAAGAATCTTAACAGCATAAAAAGTAAAATTTGTTGCAGCATATATAATAATAAATATTTAACAAGAAATCCTTCTCCCAAAAGGTTGAATCCCCAACCCCAAGGGCCCTTACACCCCGGTCTGACAGAGCATTTGGGAGGATGTAAATCACGGTGACTCAATGGCTCAGCAGACAGGGCCAAATGCCCATGCACACAAGGGATCTGTCCACTTTGGGCATATCCCCACATCCACTAGAGTATGAAGTTATTATGCAACTTTGTCTTAACCCAAGTTTCCTAGCAAAGTTATTTTCTTTCCTTACATAAGTTTAGATAAAATATAATTTCTTTCCTAATGTATACAAGTTTGCTACTTGCCAAATAAATGAAAGGTCGATTACCTTTGAGGCTTTGACACGAAAGTTAACAGTTTGAAGACAAGCTCGACAACTAAACAAGGAATTTGAAATCTGCATGTACTATGATCAGAAGTGGAAATCTCAACGGGAAAGCAAAAAAATTAAGGCGGCTTTAATAGAAATCAGAAGGCTAAGCTAACTTCAAAGGGAGGGGATGCAAGATGTCTCAAAGATTGTGAACTCAGGGCCTATACTGGTACCACAAGAATCAAAAGAGATATGCTAGCTCCTTTTTCAACTTCATTCAACAAAGGAAGAAGTACAACTTGAAATTTTCGACACAACCAGCCCAGACTGATTGGATTTAACTTTCAAGAAACCTTAACCTCTGATCCTAGGACCAATCAAATTACACAGAAGAGGAACAACACTGACAAGTTGAGGTACCAAAAACAGTAAATTTAAATACATCATACCTGCACTTAGACAAATTAGCTAGCACATATATATATATACTGTACTATAGCAACTACTCCAGCTCCATCAAGGAATGCACTGCAATAGATCAATCAGTAGTTGCAGTGCATTCGTGTAACAGTTGTGGTGCATTCCTTCAGTAGTTGGCCGGTTCGCATTTGATTGCTTATTTATTTATATTGTGAAACATTATATTATATGTATGGCTGCATACTCAAAACGACCAGCAATGGCCCAGCCTTGTACCAAACATATCCACACACCACAGCAATTTATGTCCATAAAAACCTTGGAACATTTAGTCAAGAAATTGCAAAAACCACACATTTTATACCCAAAATGTTCATCTTAATTAATCCACCTTAGCTTAAACACACACAGGTAATTCAGATTCAACAGCTGAGTCTATACCCATACAACAGAACAATTCCAAAACAACAATTACAGAACTGATTACCCAAAAACTCAACTTCAAACCAAAACGGAAAAGCAAAAAAATACACACAGAAGAACAAAACCCACAACCCAAAAACTAAAAAAGATGAAATTTTTGAAGAAAAGAGAAGCAAAAGTGAATACCACAAATCTTGATGGGTGCTGGGAGCTCAAGAAGAGTAGGCTCCTGCAAGAAAACCTGCTTAGCAACCAAACACAATTGCTTGATCTCCGACTCAGATAGCTTGGCCTGCTTCCCAGGTTTTCCCCTCAGCTCCAGAAGCCTGTTTATTATACCGTTCACTGTGTTCTGCTCCATTTTATACTCTTATATATGTATCAATCAATTCAGTATACACAACAGAACAATTCTTTTTGGGAAATGAAACGATTCTGGAATGGAATATAATGGGTGTTTGCAGTGCTGATGGGTACCTGTCAAGAACTGAGAAAATTGTGAAGATTTTTGCCGAATTAAATGCATTGAATTTTGCTTTTTTTTATAAATAGGTTGCATGTTCGACACTTGGCCTACTTTACGGTTAAAGGTTCGGTGCTTTGACATTTTTCTGATTTTCCATTCCATTTCTTTTCCCCCTTTAAATGCCATATATTACGGCTTGGAGGGATTGTGAATAAATGATCATAGCTTTAACTCTATTAGTAGGTAATATTCAAGAGAAAATAGTAAGATTTAAAACTTAACAACAGTATAAAAATTATGTTTAATTGTTTAAAATAGACAAATTATTTCAAATATTTTGTTGGATTAATGTGTAAACATCTTTAAAATTGAAAATTCAACCTTTTAAAATAAAACCAAATGGCGATTTAATAAATAGCAATGACTCAATAATTTCTTAAGTGAAACTATTTTTTTTCACAATAATATTGTCTTACTTCCTTTAACAAGAATATGTTCATTTATTTTAATTCATTTCATGATTACAAATTTGAATATTTGAATATTTGAAATTCATCTCAACTTATATCCTTTAAAGAAAAAAAAAAAAAGGAAAAAAAAAAAGTTAAATAGAACCTCTAACCTTACGGGACGACAGTGTAATAGCTCACTGAACTTTTGAAAGTTACAATTAAACCCTCCAATTTATCATTTTGGTACATCTGGACTTAATAGCCGGTTAGTAACCTGTAATAGCTAGTTGTTAAGGTTCCGATGATATTTCGAAAAAAAAAAAAAAAATTAGCGACCAATCGTCAGTCGCCGATCACCTTCTTTGAAGAATAAGCGATCAGAGAAGGTAACTAGTTGGTTGCCTTCAATTAAAGAAGGCGAATGGAATGGTCGTATTCTTCATCAATCGGAAGAAGGCGACCCCAGTCTAATCTACCGGGAGTCGATTTTTTGTGAATGGTGTTAGTCAACGGCAACTAGTAGTCAACGACAGGGCGTATTGATAACATGTTGGTTACCTGTAAATTAAACTTATTTGACCAATTTTAGTGAGTTGAAGTTCTTAATTGTACCTTTCAAAAGTTTGGGAGTCTAATTGCACTTTCATGTAAAGTTAGAAGATATATTTGATCATTTTCTCTTTAAAAAAATAGTACTCCCTCTGTCTCATTTTATTTGTCATACTTACTATTTATTGGTCAAATCAATCATTTCTTCTCTGTTTATTTTCTTTAGTAGTTTTTACTTATTTTTAAATTTAATTTTTTTTGTTTAATAGTACTTTTAATATAATTTCTAAATATATATAAATTTTGTATACTAATACTAAACTTAATATTATGCAAAAGTGAATCAAAAATAACTTCAGTCACATCAAATAAGATGGAGGAACTACTACATTGTTGATTGGGTATTGAACGAATTAAAGGTTTGAGAGATGATTCGACCTTGGGTTGGGGTCAATGTTAATTAGAAAGAAATATGATATCGAATATATAAGTGCCCACGATTTGGCATCTTACTTTTATTTATTTATTGAAAACAGGCATCTTAATTTTATCATCTGTTCCTATATCCTTCAGTTATCCAATTCTCTGGTGGACCTAATTAAGATTAAAAAAGACCATCAATCATATATAAGATTGTTTCATTCTAACATACACTCGTTATACCATAGACCAGGGCTTACACGGCACTAAGGACCCTAATTTCATGTGTTTGTGTTTTGTGTTATGATTTTTTGTGTCTGTATTATGAAAGTCTATATATTATGAGTATGTTTTGTACTTGGAATAAATTAGTAATTGTGTCTTATGTTACGATTTTTTGTGTCTTGTGTTGTGAAATTGTGTGTCTATGAACACAAATTATATATTTAAATTCAATTTGAAAAATAAGTAAATACGGAGTATATAACATGTGTATGTGTCTTGTGTTATGATTTTTATGTCTTTTATGTTATGAAATTCTGTACCTTACGAGTATGAGTTCTGTACCTCATTTTTTCAATCTAGTTGGGTCCATAATGTTATGCTTTGCGTCTTGTGTTATGGTTTTTTGTGTTTTGTGTTATGAAATTTTGTACTTTACGAATATGAATTGTGTATTTCGTTGTTTTAGTTCATGATTTATACTGCTATGTGGACTGGGTTGATGACATAAATTGCCTCTAAAATATGATAAGGCTTGACTTGAATCCACTAACGTCATCATTATGGACTCCAGCACACCCTTAATTAGAGCTCCGTTTTAGGTTATAGTTGGGGTGTCGAAATAAATTTCTAGAATACTTCTTCAATTCTAAATTTAGATAATTCTCATAATTTTAAGTAGATTACGTTAACATTTTAAGTTGTTCTCATTAAAATAGGTCTAATTGTATAATAAGATAATTAAGTTTATAATTTCATAATTATATTTCTAGATATATTTAAAAGGCAAGAGTTCAATCAAATTTATTAGATTTGTGTGCTAAGATAATTGAATTTAACTTGACTAATTACTCCGCAAATTATGCTGTGGACTCGTGTTCACAATGCATTGTGGACACAAGTCTAAATCGACGTCGTTTTTAAGGAAAACACGGCATTTCAGTTAAAAAAAATTTTTGATTTTGTCTCGCCATTAACGGCGTTATTCGTTTGTGAAGTTATGAATGTACAGTTATGGAATTATGAATGTAAGTTATGAAATTATGAACACAGAGTTCTGACATTATGAACTTACAATTATGAACATATAGCTCTAAAATTGTGAACATAGAGCTTCGAAAATTATGAATTTATAGTTATTGAATTATGAATGTACAGTTACAGAATTATGAATGTACAGTTATAAAAGTATGAATATACATTTATGCAATTATAAATGTACAGTTATGGAATTATGAACACAGAGCTCTGACATCATGAACTTACAATTATAAACATATTGTAATAAAATTATGAACATATGCTCCTATAACAAAGCGGTCTGAAATTTTTTTAAAAAATGGTGGAAGATAACGGTGCCATTAACGACACCGTTATCGTGTCCACAATGCATGCTGGACACGGGTCCATAGCATAACGATTGCTAATTACTCCAATTGTTCAAGTTCAAATTAAACCTTACTAGTATTTTCACCCGTGCGATGCACGGAATAGGTTTGTTATAATATATTAAGAATATTTTGAACAATATACAATTATTTAAATTATAACATTAAATACTCTGTATTATATAGTACAATTTAAGATATGGTTTGGATCGTTTATGTATGTTGATGTTATCATTGCTTGAATTCGCGCAAGTAATTGTTCAAATTAATAGTTAATGTGTAGATGTACGCATGCTGTGCTGTAATTTTAGAGATTTTTATATATCATTATTTATGATTTTTATAAATTGGGCAATTGGGCTAGCATCAACGGGAATTGTTTTCGCTGGAACTTGAGGCAATCTCATATCAAAAGGAGTGAGAGACATTCGGAAGATAAGAACTTTGGTTCATTCATGTGTCCCAATAACTATTCTTGCTTCGACAATGTGGTCTACCAATCTTGTGATGTCGCATCCCGTTACAAAGACCAAGAGAGTGGTCTATGTTCCACAATAACATAACAGTTGCACCAACCTTTAATGTCCATGAATGTTTATGAAAACCTGACAATCTCAAACTATTTAAGAATTCAGGAGTGTGTACTTCTAATAGATTTTCACTGTCTGATTCTGCCTTACATAAAGAGTCACAACTTAAATATATTCGTTCTTCTGCAGTATTCATGTCGCACATGTGCTGAATAATTTGATCAACGACATCTAAAGTCGACGAGATGATCGCTCGGCCTTCTAGATGCGATTCATCAAGCATGCCATATCTCGAGCTTGGGAATGTGTTTTCCACTATAGTTGCTATGGGATTGTGTCCACACTTCAACAAAAACTGTGCCGAAATATCTATATCAAATGAACCGTTGTTTACAACCATTGCAATCTCATCTACGATGTCTGCAATCCATTTTGAAAACCAATCAATCGTCTGTCTATCTTCCTCTTAAGCTAAGGTCCGTAGTCTCAAGTTCTTGGTGAGCGTTAATACCTTGCAATTTGTCCACATGTATGATGAATTAATATTTGCTTCGACAACTATTGGTCTAGTTGATTTCGGTATAACATGTAGGCTCTGTTTAAAAGCGATGTCCAAAACTATTGTCTTTCCACTAAAAGTCTTTTCAGCACTACCCGATATAACGAACCTCAATAAATTCATCATACTTTTATCCAAAGCCTCAAAAATAGTGTCTGTGCGTCATCAATGGGTGAATTTTCCTTTTTCATTAATTAGTGAATTCCGTTTCCTTTTTCATTAATTAATCAATTTGGGATCTTTTTTATTTTCTTCTTTTTTTTTTTTTGCTCCTAACTTTTTTTACTTATTATTATTATTATTATTATTATTATTATTATTATTATTATTATTATTATTATTATTTAGTAATTTTGATAAGATTTTCCTTTTCCATTAATGGGTGAATTCTGTTTCCTTTTCCATTAATCAATGGATTAATGTTTTTTTTTACTAATTATTATTAGTATTAATCAGTGAATTCTGTTTTCTATTTCTTTTTCAGTGAATTAGGTATCTTTTTTTTTTTTACTTCTAACTTTTTTTTAATAATTATTATTTATATTAATTAGTAAATTCCGTTTCTTTTTTCCATTTTCAGTGAATTAGGGATAAATTTTTTTTTTTCATTTTGTACTACTAACTTTTTTATTATTTTATTATTAGTATTAATCATATTATTATTATTATTATTTTAATAATAGTATAGATTAGATTATTACATAGGAATTGTATTACACTATTTTAAAATATTAGAATTGAATAAGAATTTTAACCTAGAATTATAGTACAAATAGGAAAGTAGAAAACACTATATTTTATTAGAAAGTGAGATTTTTTAAGAATTGGGAGGGAAGTTAAAAGTTCAGGATTTTGTTTTTATATATAGTATAGATTATAAGCGAAAGGCCTTGTGATTGAGTGACATAGTTGTGGCCTCTCATATGAGAGG